CATATTAGTATTTATTTCAATAAAACATTTAATGTATTATTAGTAATTACGAATAAAAAATATATTATAGGGAAGAAGATAAAAAGAAGAGATAGTAATAGAAAAGTATAAATGAAAAAACGTAAAGAAGAAAATAGAATATTTTAAAAAGTTAAACACATCAAAAGTAGTTTATTTTTTAAGTTTTTAAATAAAAATAAATAAAATGAATTGCATTATCTTAATTAATTTTATATTCAAAAGAAATTAGACAGAGTTTTAAAGAAATTAATTTATTGTGACCAGTGTTTATAACTAGTTTTACATTCACAAGTCATCCTTATAAGACAATTATAAATTAAACCAACAAATGTTACAACATCAACTTCAGTCTTTCCTTTTTTAACTTTAGTTTCATCCATTAAAGAGGATAAATACAAATAATCTCCAATAACTTTTTGTTGAAAAGAATTTGTAGAAGTTAAATTTAAAGATTGATTTAATGGAATATTAAATTCAATTCTAAAAATTTTAATATATTTTATAAATGAATTGAAAATAAAAGAAAGAAGAATAACAAACAATAAGATATATCTAAATATTAATAATACTTGTTTTATTATAGGATAAATAATTGAAGTAATTGGAATAACTAATTCATTTCTTATTTTATCTTCATTCTTAGGATCTAACAATTTATCAAATATATCACAATTTCTTTTAATTTCATTTAAATCAGTTGGTTTTGTATTATAATCTTTTCCTATAATTGACATCTTAACACCTTTTTGAGTTACAAATGAAACTACACCATTTTCAATTATTTGTAAATACCATTTAGCAAGTTGTTCTTGAAATTTACCTGAATCAATAATAGCAAGTAACTGAGTATAATTAATAAATGGTTGTTGAATAATATTTTCCATTAAACTATTAAATAAATAATTTGAAATAAAGTTCTTTTTCTATTATTTTTGTTTAATATAAAAAAAAGATAAATTCTTCATTTTAATAATTATTTATTTATGCTTTTTATTTTAATTAAACAGTTCTAGTAGTTTTTTTTTATTATGGTATTTTTTAAATAATAACCTTTTGCATGAATGAGTGTTTTTGAAAATATTATTTCGTTATTTCTTCCTTTAATTCTCATTAAGAACATTAAAAATAAAGTTAGAAATATTCTGTTAAGAAGAAAGAAGATGTAAATTGAAAGAAAGGTGTTAATATTGTTTTTTTTTTCTTTTTCAAATATTTTTTAAGTTTTTAGATCTATTCTTCTTATGGAACGTATTGCAATTGATTTATACTCTGGAAATAATTCAATTGAAATTAGAAAAAAAGCATCTGATGCTATTTCTTCAATAAATGGGTTTCAGTGGGCTTGTAATATTCTAAATAATTGTTCTAAAAAACGATTAGAAGTTGTTTTATTTTCACTTCAAATCATAAAGCATTGGATTTATTTATTTGATAGTGATGACCCACAATTAAATGTTTTATTAAATTTATTAATTGTTTCATTAAAACAAATGTATGATTTAAATCAACGTTTACTTTGTGTGAAGATTGGAGAATGTTTTAATGGAGTAATTTGTAGAAAGTTAGATGAAAATGATTCAATACTTTCTATTTATTTATCAATAATAAAAGATATTAAATACCATCCATTAATTGTTTTATTATTTCAATTATTATTAGAAGATATTAATTCTACAAAAGTTAAACAAAATATATTAATTAAACAACTTTTTATTATAACAAATTCATTGAAAAGAAATGGATATGAAATTATTCAATTTTTAATTAAAATGATTTTTACATCTCCACAAAACTCTATTATATCAATTAAATTAATAGCACAATATATTGATATGAAATGTATTTTAAATACAATGTTAATACCTGGATTAAGAGAATTATTTATTAAATATAAACAACTTCAAGATGATATTTTTGATTGTGTTAATGACTTAATTTCTAATAAAAACATTACAAAAGAAGCTATTCCATTATTTTTAGACATTATTCAAATTTTCTTAAAATCAGGTGATGATAAAGCTCTTATTGTTCTTTTAACTTTTATTAATTCTTTTGGATTAATATTAAATCAAGAAATGGTTTATTTCATTCTTGAAAATTTATTAAGTTATTACCAAATTAATATAAATAAAATTGATATTATTCATCATGAAATAGAAGTGATTTATACAATTTTAAAACTACCAAATGTTTTTAATGTATTTAAAATAGGAAATTCTGAACAACTTATTATTCAATTAATTCAATTGATTATATATTCATCATATCATTCAATTAATCATCAAATGAATTGTATTGACTTCTCTTCTATTGGTTCAAATGAAAGTCAATACAAAAGAGTGCTTAATTTAAATATTAATACATTAGAAATTATATTTTTAAATAATCCTCAAATAATTATCAGTCAAATTCAACAATCTTTAAATCAAATATCTTCTATTATTCTTTTAAAACATTCAAAAAGATTAAATGAAATGGAATTAGTTGATTTAACTTCATTATGTTATTTCTTTATATTTCTTCAACCAAAATATATTGTTCATTCATTACCTTTTCAAGAATTATTAACATTATATAATCCTTTCTTTGAAATATTAAATTATTTACAACAAGAAAAAGATTCAGTTATTTTAATGGAATTAATAGAACAATTATTAACTGTTTTTGAAAGTTTTTATAATTGTATTTCATTAATATATTCTAACCAATTGGATCAATGGGCAAATAACTATATTCAAAAACTCATACTAACAAGTCAAAATTGTTCATCTTCTAATGTTTCAATATTCTTTATTAAAACAACTTTTTGTTTTATTCAAACAATTGGTATACAATGTTTAAAATTTCCATTTACTTTATCTATTCATCAACAACCATTACAATTTTTTTCTCATTTTCATGGAATTATTCAAATAGAAGCAATATCACAATTCTTAAATACTCTTCTAAATTTTATAGAGTCAAACAATACTCAATTATATTTCATTCAAAAAACTTTTCAAACAGTTTTTGATAATTTATGTATTCAACCATTAATAAATTCAATCAAAAATAAAGACCAAACACTTATTAAACATTTATGTCTCATTATTATTACATTTATTAATGAAACAAGTAATCTTAATGTAATACAAAAAGAAATGATAAGTGGACATATTAACACATTATTTAAAACATTTGAGCTTTTAGATTTTTCACAATTTAATGATGATATAGTAAATGTTATAACTAAAATGATAAATTGCTGTTTTATGAAATTAACAAATACTTTAAAAGAAGAAGTTATTTCAATACTTTTACAAAAGTATATGAATATTTTTTCTGGTCATGTACTTGAAATAGTCACATCTTCAAATCAATTAAAAACTAATGTTATATGTATGTTCATACAATTACTTTCTAAATTTATTTTAGTATGGTGCTCTATATATGGAGACTCTCCTTCTAAAACGTTTTCAGACACTACATTCTTAGCTTTTTTATTTTGTTTAAATGATATTGCAAATATTCTTTCAGAATATACTATTGGTTCAGAAGTATTTAGAGAAGGATTTAATATTCTTTTTGATGTAATTCAAATACAATATAAAAACATTGATGATTACCCAGAATTCTCTGAAATTGCTTCAAAGCTTATTGAAAATGGAATACAATCTTCTGATATTGAAATGGTTCAAACTATTTCAAAACGATTACTTGCATTAAATAAAACTATTTCATTCTTTTCTCTCATTTCATTACGTTCTTCTTTACCATCATTTTTAAATACGTTTATTAAAGTACTCATATCTTCAATGCATAGTTTTGATGTTTTATCAGAATTACTTTATTCTATTATTTCATCTTCATCCTCTAATTATTCTTCATTTTATAGTGTTGTATCATCTTTCTTATCTACAACATTAACAGATGCAATAAAGAATAGATATTATCAATATTTACTTCAGTACATTGAAATAAAACAAGATGAATCATTAGTTCAATTCCAACAACAACTAAAATATTTTGTAAGTGATTATTTACTTTTATCAAATAAGAGTTGTTCATAAATAACACATTTTTATTTTTATTTTTGTTTTTCTTGTTTTTAAAAAAGAAGAAGAATCTTAAAACCTGCAAATAATATTTTATCATCACATGAATGAAGAAAAGAATATTTCAATCTATGAATTTGATGTAAAACAAAATCCACAATCATTTAAAACTTGGTGGAATTATATTGAATATTTTGATGAAAGTCATTTTCAATCTAAAATAACCATTTTCCAACGAGCATTACAGTTTGTGAATAATTCTCTATATAACAATAAAAGACTTATTGAATTAGTGAATTGCCAGGAAGTTATAAATTGTGGTATCATTACCTTCAAACTATTCTTATAAATGCAAGAAAGAGTGGAATTGATACTGAAATTAGAAAGAGTGTAAATGAGGTATTTGAAGAAAGTTTAGTATATATGAATAAAATGCCAGTTATATGGAAATTATATATTGAATGGTTAATAGAGAATGGAGAAATAACACAAATGAGAAGAGTATTTGATAGATCATTACAATCTTTACCAATTGGTCAACATAATGAACTTTGGAAAGTTGTTATGAAATTTGTGATTACATTAAACACACCACTATTATTTGAGAAATTAGTATTGAGACATATTTTATTAGATAGAGGAATGATTGGAGAATATATTCAAATTTGTAAAAAGAAAGGAGAAAAATATTACCCACTTGCATTAAAATTATTAATTCAAAATGTTAGTTTACATTCATTTAGAATGAAAAAAGAAGAATATGATTTTATGATTCATATTTTTGAAAGTCTTACTGTCCAAGATAAAGGAATTGATGTTCAAAATATAATGAAAAAAGGAATTCAAGAATTTCCTGAAGATACTGGAAGTTTATGGGTTGGAATGTCTTTGTATGAAATTAAAGAAGGGAGAATAGAAACAGGAATTTCAATATTAGAAGAAGCAATGAATGAAGTGATTACACTAAGAGATCTTTATATTGTAAGACAATGTTATGAACAAGTTATACACAATTATATAAATAAACCAGGAATAAAAGAAGTAGAAAAACAAGTAATAGAAGAAAGAAAAGAGTATTTACTTGGAAATCAAAATATTCAAATGAATTTAGTATTACTTAAGAAAGAGCCATATAATGTCAAAGAATGGATTGAAAGAAGTAGACTTTATGTAAAAAATGGAGATGTTTTAAGTGGTGTTAAAACATTAATAGAAGGAATTAAAACAATTCATGGAGGAAAAGAAATTAATGGAAAAAAAAATGAGTTATGGAGTGAACTTATTGGATGGTATCTTAAAGGGAATAAAAGAAATGAAGCAAAACAATTATTTGAAAAAGCAAAAGAAGACAATTTAACACAAAGAGAAGAAGCTGAAATTTGGTATGAAATGATACAAAATAAAATTAAAAGTAATAATATAAATGAAGCAAGAGCATTATGTGAAGAAGCAACATTAAGACAATCAAAAGTAAAGAATGAAAGAATGATTTGGAAAGGGTATCTTGAGATTGAAGAAATATCACACAATATAATGGGGAAATGGAGTGTTTATGAAAAAATGATAGAATTAAAAATTATTACAGGGAGAGAATTAATAGAATATATTAAAGAAAAAAAAGACAAAGGAGATGGAGATGATATATGGAAAATTTATGAAAAAGGAATTAATATTTTTGAATATCCAGTAAAAGGGATGTTATATAATCAATATATTAATGAGTGGTGTTCATTGTATGGAGAAAAGAAAAAAGAAAGAACACGTGACCTTTTTGAAAATGCCATTGAAAGTGCACCTATTGAATGGAAAAAGAAGATGTATGATCAATACATTAAATATGAAATAAAGAATAACTCATTTAAAAGAGTTATTGATTTATATAAAAAAGAAGTTAATGAAATACTTAATGAAGAAAAGTGTGAAGTATGGATCAAATATGCTCAACAAGTAGATGAAGTTTTTGGATTTGAAGAAACAAAAAAGGTATATTTAGAAGGTTTAAATTCAATAGGAAGAATAGATGAATGGAAATTATCTCTTTCATTTGCTGAGTATTTAGAAAACCAAGAAGATATTGAAGGTGCAAGAGAAATTTTTTCAACTGGAAGTAAAAGATGTAGTGTTAAAGAACATGAAGAATATTGGGATAGATGGAAAGAATTTGAAGAAAGGTTTGGTAGTGAAAATACATTTAAAGATTATTTAGTTACAAAGAAAACAGTTATGAAATATTTTGGAGAAGCAGAATGATTAATACAAGAATAAAATGGAAATGTTGGTATTTTTTTCGTTTTATAAAAAAAAAAAATTTTAAATAAAGAACAAATCTATTTATAAATCATTATAAAGTGATTTGTCACCGTCTCAAAACATAAAAAATAAAGAATAGTATTTTTAGAAATATAATAGAACTTAAAAGTCAAATAACAAAAAGAAATGTCAACTACTCAAGAATTAAAGAATGCAATTGAAAGGTCAAAAAAAATTGAAATAATGAGAGAAAAGAAAGAATACCAAAGCAGAAAGATGGAAATTGAAGAATTGGATTTAGACTGCTTTAGAACTATTTATCAAATAATAGGTCAGATATTTAATGATAAAAGAGATGAGTTAATAGCTACAAAAAAAAAATATGAAGAACTTCAAAATTGTTACACTCAAGTAGTTGAAAAATTAAATAAAACTATTAATATTATCAATGCAAATCCAAATGCTTATCCTGCTCTAAAAACAAACCAACATCCTGACTTAGCTGTCCAACAATACCAACAACAAATTACCAAAATTTCTTTAAGAAACAAAGAAATGATACAGATAATTAAGAAAAATAAAGAAGAATTCATGAATAAGGTACGTGAGTTACATTTAATTTATTTTCAAGCTATTGAAACACAAGAAGTAGTATGGCACCCTATCCAAAAAAGAAAGAGGATAGAAAGTTTATCTGATCCTTTTAAAGTAAATTCACGAGAATTTTATAAAGAAAGAGTGTATTGTTTAAAAGAACGTTGTGATGAGACTTATAGAAATTTACTACAACTTCATGAAGATTCAAAGCTTCAATCAAAATATAGTCAACCACCTCCTTCACGTGCTGCTTTAGCTGTAAACAAAGAAAATGTAACAATGTCATTAAAAGTATCTCCTTTAAAATCCTCATCTGAGATAACTAGTATTCCTAATATTACTCCAAGTTGTGTAAAAACTAACTTATATAAAGAAGATAAAGTCAAAGAACCTCAAACAAGTATTTGGGGATATATTCCTGTTCCAAAAGGAAATTCAGGTGAGGCTGTTGAAGTAATAACCAAATCTTATCATTTCAAAGTTGGTGATCAAAGTACAAGCGTTTTATTACATCCTTATGGACCATGGTCTATTTATATGAAAGACGCAGAAATGTATTTAGGTTATGATTCAATTTTAGGTAACGTTATATTAAGTATATGTGAAATTAAAAAAGGAGCCCCATATCCACCAGAGTGTTTAGACTCTAAGGATGGAGTATTATGTACATTGAAAACAAAAAAAGGAGAGTATAGGTCAATGTTCGACAAGTTTTTAGTTATGAAAGAAGGAAAGTATAATACGCAATTTATTTCAAGTTTATTAGAGGCATCAGCTTCTAATGTAAAATATAAGTTAATGGATCCTTCAGGTAAAGCACCCTTAATGTGGAGATATGACGAAATAAATGCACCAACTTGTTTTGAAGTTGGTGTTAGGTATATTAATACTGACTCAATTTGTAATATTGTTGACGACTGTAAATATCCAAATTCATTTGATAAGTTTTTATCATGTTTTTCATCAGCTATGAAAGTTACTGAAGAAAGTAGTTTACAACAAATAACAAGTCAATTAAGTTGTACAAATTATTATTTTTATTGCCAAAATGATTGGTGTGAAATTGCTTATTATGTATCACCATTAATGGGAAAAGAAGATAGAACTATGGCACTTGAAAATGCTATTGTTACATTATTATTTGTTGAAGGAAATCAACCACTACAACTTGATTCTCTTTCAACAAATGATATTGTAATTGTTGTTACTCATGACATAAATGGATATCTTGTTCGTGTTGCTCAAAAAGGAAATGACTGTTTTGTAGAAACACCACTTCCTCAACCTAATTATGTTATTCCAGGTTATCAAATGAAAGGATTTATGACAACACTTATTGTTGACTGTTATAAATGTTATCGTAATCGTACTCAAGCCATGAGACATTTCACTGAAAAAAGAGATGAAGTATTAACAAAGATTAAAAAATCAAAATAAAATATTTTATTTCATTATTTGTGTTTTTTTTTAAATATTCTTAAAAAGTACTAAAAATATTGAAAGTGGATTTAGGTTGATTATGAGCAAAGTAATATTATTTGTACGAAAGTAATATTATTTTATTCAAACAGTTTTTTGAAAGTCTGGTATGACGTGGTAAGAACTTTTAAAGGATTTAAGATGAGAAACATAGAAACTCTATGAATAAAGAAGAAGAACAGTTTAAGTCAAGTCCACTATTATCTGAAGAAGAAACAGACAAAGACTATGAAGAAGGTAGTGATGAAAATAGTGGTGAAGAAGAGTTTGAGTATGATTGGGAGTTTGCTGGACAAAACATCAAATTAACAGGAACAGAAGCTGAGATTATGAAACTTATTGAAGAACGACTTGAAAAAATATCAGAAGAAGAAAAGAAAAAGATAATAGAAGACATTAAGAAAGGAATGAAAGTTGGAATGAAAAAAGGATTTAAAAAAGGATTTCATAAAGAGTTTCATGATAAAAAGAATAAAAAAAATCATTTAAATAAAAGAGTTAAAAAAGCAATTAAAGCTGGAGTAAAAGAAGCTACCAAAGAAGGAATAAAAGAGAGTACAAAAGAAATTAAGAAAGATATAAAAAAAGAAGTTAAAGCTAGTATAAAAGGAGAAATCAAAAAACAAGTTGAAATTAAAAAAGAAGAAGTAAAAGAAAAAATAAAAGAAACAACAACAAGTGAAACGAAATAAATAATAATACACAAATGTAATTTTTTTGTTTGGTATTTTAAAACTAAAAAAAGAGAGAAAGAAACTCAAAAACAACATTTATAAGGAAATTTGGATTATGTCAAATTATCTTAATTTATATCAACAATTCATTAATAAAAATAATGATGCACTAAAAGAGCTTAATAATAAAGAAATGCTTGAAGAATTAAAAAAGAGTAAGTTTTATAATAGATTGATTTTTATTGGATGTGAAACAAATAATAAGGAGCTTGTAGAATTATTATTAAATTATAGTCCTTCAAAATTAATTTGTCAAGACATACATGGGAGAACTCCATTAATGAGTTGTTTATTACATCAAAGTTTAGATGTAATTGTGCTGTTATTATCTATTGGAGATTGTAGATTAGATATTGTTGATTCTTTTGAAAATAATATACTTCATTATCTTTCAAATTGTGAAGTTGATGATTTAATAGAGTTATTAAGTAAGAGAGTAATTGAAGAATATCCTTTATTTATTAAAAGAAAAAATGCATTAGGAGAAAGTCCTCTTCATCTTTCAATTGAGAAAGGTAATATTAAATTTGCACAATTATTACTTGATAATGGAGCACCACTAAATCAAGTTACAAATGGCAATCAATCTTCTCTAGATTATGCTCTTTATTGTACTACCAATCAAATAGAAACGATTCAATTTGTTAAGACAAAAATAAAAGAAAAAGAAAAAGAATTAGAACAAAAAAAAATTATTCTTTCATCAAAACCTGAAGAATGTCAAATGAAAATTGACTCTTCTGTAATTAACCAACAAAATATTTCTGACAAAACTAATGGAAATATTATTGATAATACTATTGAAAGATCTCCACCGGATGTGGAGGTTATTGATAAAGATGATATCCAACAAGTAAAAGAAAATACCACTAATGCTTATTATTCTTCTTTATTAAGTAGCTTTTTTAAAAAGAAAGAAGCAGTAAAAACATTAACAAAAGAAGAAGAATATCAAATATTGTTAGAAAGTATAGAAATTAATGATAAAATGCATAATTCTATTGATTCTTTTAATAGAAAAAAGAAATTTAGAATGATTTCTATTGATGGAGGAGGAATTAAATGTATTCTTCAAGCAATTATCTTTTCAAGACTTGTAGAAAAATTTCCAACTTTATTAGAAGAGGTAAATTTATTTTGTGGAGTATCAGCATCAAGTTTTATTTGTGCTGATTTGGCTCTTGGGATTCATCCAAAAGACATTAAAAAATTGATGATTGAAATGTGTAAACATAGTTTTGAAAAGAAGTCACGAGGATATATGGAGTCAATGTATTCTAATAAATATCTTATTGATGTTGCCCAAATGACTTATGGAGAAAAAAAATTAAGTGATATACAACGTTATATTTTAATTAATGCATTTCAATTTGACTCTGGAGAGAATGACCCAAATAGATGTTGTAAAGCATGTGTTTTCAATAACTTTATTCCAGGATATGACTGTAAAATTGGTGATGCATGTTTACGTTCAGCAGCTGCTGTTGGTTATTATCCACCATATCAAGGATATGCTGATGGTGGAATTTTTGAAAATAATCCATGTGTTTGTGCATTCCCCTATATATTTGGGGAAAGAGGGCTTGGAATAGATATAAATAATACTGTGTGTCTTTCAATTTCATCAGGAAGACCACCAATTAATTATATGGATAGTAACAAATATACTGATGTTGGGTTATTACAACTTTTACCATTATGTATTGATGGATTTTTGTGGAGTAGAAAGTCTATGGCAGATGATGTTGCAAAAGGGTTTTTAGGAGAACGATATATGAGATTTGATCCAGTATTACCAAATAATCTTGATTTGGATTGTAATAACCAAATCGAAGAATTAATAGAGTTAGCTAATAATGTAGATATTACTTCAATTGAAGAGTGGATTCTTAAGTATTGGCTGTAATAATATTTACAGTTCATAATAATGATATTTCAAAACTATTCTTTATATTTTATTCTAATTTATTTTATTTTTTTTAACTATTAAAAATATTTTATACCATAAAGCTGGTATATTAAATGGTATAACTAATATAATACCTATTACGATATTAATGAGATTATTAGAAGAAAACAAATATTCATAATGAAATAAAGATTATGATAATGAAAAAAGATAAATTAAGAGATTTAAAAAATAAATGATATGATGTCTAAATAAAAATAGAAAATTGATATTTTATTTTTATGAAAATAACGAGTATAATCTATGAGATTATTCATTTCATTATTGTCAATTTTATTATTAATGTCAAACCACACTTTATGACAGAAGAAGTAATTTTTTCATTAAATTAAACTAATGTTAAATCCTCGATAAATTAATTTTTAATTTCCTAAGTCAATATAATAAATATTCTTCATTTTGGTGATATGAGAAGAAATTATACATTTTTTAAGAAGATTGGTAAACGCCATTATGTGATGAATAGTACATTTTAAAACTTTATGTCTTTCAATTTCTGTTAGTCAGTTAAGTGAAACAATGTTATTTTATAAATTAATATTATTTTCTATAAGATATTGCCATATTAATAAACAATGGAATTTTCATTTTATTGAACTTTAAGAGAACAAAGATTAATTAGAGTATATGTATTTAAAAGACTAAATGTTGGTGGTAAGAGTTTTTTAGAAAAGAGTTAATTAACTCAAAGGTATTGAAGAAAGAAGTGTTTTGAATAACTTCATTGTATTGGTAGTTAATTAAAATGAAATAAAAGACTCTCGTTATAAGTAGGAAGATGAAGAGCAACATTCATTAGAAAAATTGATTTCATTGCATAATATTATTTATTGAATAATTTTTTAATTCTTCTATCATAAAAAATACAAAAAAATGAATAAATTCAATAATATAATAAATCTCATTTAGAAAAAGTATAGTGCAGGAACAAAACGAGTATTTCCATTAAAACCAACAAATGTCTGTGGTTGTATCACTAATTCTCTACACATAGGACATCTTGGTTGTTGAATAAGCCATTTAAAAATACATTCTTCACAATAAACATGACCACATTTTAACTTAATTGGACGATTAACTGTGTCTTGACAAATTAAGCACATTTTGTCTTCTAATGAATCTACGGTTACTGAAGTACCAAACATATTGTTTTGAGTGAAAAAGGTTTTAAGAACTTTAAAGAAACAAGAAAGAAAATTAACAAATCCAAGACAACGTTCAAACACATAAAGCCACGTTATTGGATATATAACAATATAACTAATCCATTGGTTGGTTATTGAAGTGTATGAAATAAGATAATTATAAATAATAAAAGTAGGAAGAATAACTCTTATAGACAAAGTAAGTGATTCTATCATAGAGAGTAATTTACATAATAATAATATATTTTTAACTAAAAATATTGTTAAAACTTTTAGATAATAATTTATATAACGGTAAATACAGTCACATAGATATAAATAAATGAATAAATCACTAAAAGAATTTGGAATAACAGTAATATCTATCATATCAGTTATTCCTATTTGCCACACCTTTATAATAAATAATAACATAGAAGGAATACAATAAACTAATATCCTTATTTTATTTTCCCCAGTATTTACATATTGTGTAACTAACTCAGTTAAATGATAATGTTGAATGAAATCAACTATAATAAATAAAGTATAAAAAATATGACTAAAGAAAAAGAATAATATAACTACTATATAAGACCCAAAACCTGAATCATAATCATTATTTATATAATCATTATCACCATCATTATTATTATTATTTTGGTTGTTTGGTTGTTGTTCATTTCCTGTATGAGGTACTTCATTTAATTGAGTTAAACCTTCTTCTCTCAAATTAACTTCATGTTCATCAACATTTCCCATTTCAATTTCGTGTTCAAATTTTGTGTCTTGGTTTTCATTAGTATTTAATGAATTTATATGATTATTTTCATGAGTGTCTATACAACTCAATTTATTTGTACAGACAATATCACTATCACATTCTTTTTCTGTTTTCTGTTTATTAAGATGTTCTTCAGTTTGTGACATTTAAGTGATTTTATAGTATTTTTTTGTAAACTTTTTAGAAATAAAAAATGAGCAGAAACAGAATATCAAAAACCCTTTATTATTTATTCTTAATCAAATCAACCATCTCCTCAATTGTTATCTCATTAAATGTGTGAATTGCCAGGTTGCATCCTTTAATTTGAAGTAATTCATTAACAGTCATTTCTGAGGCAATTCCTATTGGAGTAGCACCAGCTGATAATGCAGAATGAATACCTGAAATAGTATCTTCAAATACAATACAATGAGAAATACTAACTCCTAATTTCTTAGAAGCTTTTAAATAAATGTCAGGAGCAGGTTTACCTTTAAAAGTAAAATCATTAAAAATAATTTTATCAATATCAAACCATTCTTCCAAGTGGTATTTTTGAATAAACACTTGAACATTTCCCCAATCACTTGAAGTGGCAATAGTAAAAGGAATATTACATTTTTTTAATGCCTCAAAAAGATTAATTGCACCATCACATAATTTTATATCACTTTTCATTAACATAGTTCTATATAAATTTTCTTTTTCTTCAGCATATTTCTTTGCATCTTCATCACTTATTTCTTTATTGAGAATATGTTCAATTAATTGTTTATTTGTTCTACCATTCAATAATTTAAATTCATCCTCACTTAATGGAGTACCTCTTATTCTTTTTGCCATTTCTTTCCAACAAAATGCATGAAGAGGAGTATCAAATATTAAAGTCCCATTAAAATCAAACAAAACAGCTTCCATAAAATAACAAATAAGTTTTAGTTTTTATTCCAAAATGAAAATTAATAATAAAATATTAAATTGGAATTAAACTTTGGTTTTCATTCAAGCCAAGAACATATCCCAGTCCAAGTAAGAATTGAGCAATATAATAAGTGAACATTACTAAAAATCGAATAAATGAATTTGTTTTTACCCACAAAGAAACACCTAAGATAGAATCACTTAATATAAAAAATAAATATCCAATAAGAACAACTAAACGAGAGGATAATGTCCATTGTGCATTATTAAATAAACATACACTTCCATAAAATCCAATAGAAATAATTGTTAAATAACCATAAACTATTTTCCTCATATATTCTGGAAGAATAGTATAATTCTTTAATATTGTCCAATAAATAAAAACTAAAATAAAAACAAAAATTCCAATCCATTCAAATGCCAATGCCTAATTATATTATTAATTTTATTTGTTTTTTTTTTAAGAATAATTGAAAGATTTAATTTTACAAACTGAAACAGATATAAATGCATATGCATTACAAATATGTGCAAGACCAAATGATAACATCCCAACTAAAAATATATTACCTTCAAATAATAAAAAGAAATCTCCAAGAAATGAAAATATATATCCAAGAATAAATACAATAGGTGTTTCTTCAAGTGAAACAAAAAGAAACAATCCCATAATTAAACAAAAGGGACATTTACTTAATCGTACCATCATTTTATTATTATTTAATATAGCATTCCAATGAATAACAGCATTGATTATTGCAACAATAAGTAATGTAAGTGGTACGTATTGGTTGTTCATAGATTATGAAATTATCGGTTCTTTCGACTCAAGATATCAATCTTCTATTATATTCTATTTCTTATTTATTGTATGAAATAACAAAAATATATCTTGAAATTAATTTATCTTTGTTATTTTAATTTTTTTTTTATTTATTTAAATTGAACTTTTATTGAAACAACTTTATTAAAAGAAATTTCTAATAAAAATTAAATAACCAAATTGAAAATGTTATTATGAAAAAGAAAGACATAAATAATTAACTTATTTACATATTTACTTTTTTCTTATTGAATAAAATTCAAATTTTTGTGATAATAAAAAGTACTAAACATTATAACTAAGAATCTTTTTGAATTTGTTTTATTAGTTAATGAATGAATAGAACAAATAAAAGAAAAAATAAATTATTCTTATTTTAGGTTTTTAATTTTAATGTATTATTTTATTTTAATTCATTTAGAATATATTGAATTGAATAGTATTATAAGTTTATTGTATAATAAGAATAATTCAGTAATGAGACTTTGTGAATAAAGAATAAGAATTAAAAATATTTAATTAGGAATAAAATTATTCAATTAATCTAATACAATATATTTATCTTATTAATTAGCAATTTACTATTTTTTGTTCTTTTATTTTAACAAAAAGAATAAAAGTTCATATAGAATTTTTGATAATTGTTAATTATCTTTATGCCTTTGTTAATTAATTTACATTAAATAGTATTCATTTTAAAAGTATATAACAAATTATCAAATAAATTAGATTTTTCTTTGTATTGAACAAAAATTAAAAGAACGTACATAGACTCAAACCAAGTAAAACAAAGATGAAAAAGTAATAATTAAAATGAAAATAATGGTAAAAATAAAGATATTAAACTAAAAAATAAAAGAACAAAAATATATCATTATTAGTTTTAATAAAAATAAATATATTATTCAAATTCAATTGCAAATAATTCTTCATCTGTTAATTCTTTCTTTTTAGAAACTTTATTTTTATACACATAATATGTTGTAAATGCAATAAATGCTCCAATAATTCCACCTGCAAGAATATCAGAAATAGCATGGTGGTGATCATAAAAGCGGGTTAGTCCAACAACAAAAGCCCATACACAAGGTAAAAATACAATGAATTGTACAATTAAATTATTTGACTGTTTGTATTTTGAAATAAATTCTAATAGTATTAGTGATAAGAATACTTGTCCTTGAAAAGCATATGCAGTATGGCCAGATGGGAAACTATGGTTACAAGTTGGTTTATAATGTTCAATACAATATGTATTATAAAATGGTCTTGGTTTTCCAGAATATCTTTTTAATAATTGAATGATAATTCCTACAATCATTTCACTATTTAGAAATGGAATAAGCACTGTTAATCCTTTTTCTATATTCTTTTGATAGATAGATATTATTGCAATGACACAAATTGGAATATAAAAATTAATAATAACATTCATTGTTCTTGGAATAACGTCATTAAGTTTTGAAAACATATAATTTGGGTCTTCTTTGTAAGGAATTTCTTGATGAGTTGGAATGAATCCAACTAAGTTATTAATAATTATTAAAATAAGATATAGTCCAATGTCTGACTTATACTCATTAATGAATCTTTTACTATTCTCAATTATTCCTGTCTGATTCATTGTCACAGAATTATAAGTTCTTAGTATTTTCTTTGAAGATTTTTTTATTTTAGTTAGTCTTTTTAAAACAAAATTTGAATTTTTTTGTTTTTAATAAGAAAATTCTTTCTTCTTTTATTAAGAAACAAAACACTGGAAATAGAGTATAAGTCATTCTAATATAATAAACTGCATATATAAATATATCATTTTATGCTATTTCTAATAAAAGATGAAAAGGTTGGTTTTTTATTCTTCTATAAGATTGAGTATTATTTTCATGTTAATCAAAATAATGAACTATTATAAGACAATCATTTTTATTATTATTTCTTTATTTTTTTTTATTTGAATATTAATTATATTGTAATTGAATGGTTATGTTTGTTATATTTGTGTTGATTTGATATTTTGTGGTATTTTGAGAGTATTTAAATAAAAAAAGGAACGAAGAAAAACAGATAGATTAGAGAGAAGGAATTTGAATATCAAACCCGTGATTGTACAATAGAATATAGTGTAATACCAAAGTGTTTATGGTTAATCAGTTTTTTTGGGAACCTTCATTGGAGTTAACCAAGATTTGTTCTACTCAATTGTGCAAGAGTTGGGAAAGACGAAATAATCTCTTATTTATCCTATATTTAATTATATTATATTCCTCATTCTATTTACATTCAATTAACAACTACTATGTAAATGATTGTATTATTCTTGTTTAATTAATCCAATAACGATAAAATGAATAAGAAGAATAAAGAAATGTAAAATAGAATAAGTAATGATATTCATTTAATATTCATTCTTTGATTTATTATTAAATTATTACAACCAATAATTTGATTGTTATATTTAGTTATTTTATTTCTTTTTTTTAATTATTTTAATTAAAACTCTTATTGATTAACACTGTTGTATAGTTTAGTTGTATCATTCTTCTTTCTATTAGTTTTTCTGTTTCTCCTATGTTTTGGTATGAACTTCAAGAACTATTTCATCAAAATGTTCATCTCAAAATTTATGTCTTTGTTCATTTCTATTATTTCTTCATCTAAATGATAATATCATGAGTCTCATTTTTCATTACTTTCAGAAATAACAACATCCAATTTTAATTAAATTCAAAATATTTTTGTTTTCATTTCAATTAAAATAAAAAATGACTCTTTTATAATTTTTAAAAAACAAAACACGGATAATCATCTTTTTAAAAAGCCAGAGACAAAAGTAAGAAGATTTAGTCTCGTTAAACTAAAAAATTATATACGTTAATTTAAACTGAAAATAAATTAAATTCCAAAAAAAAAATATTCATAAAATACAACAGTTTTTATCAGTTTGAATAAATTGAATTGTGGACCAAACTAAAAAAAAATATTTTTAGTTTTTCGAATGAACATTTTTTTTAAAGAGCTAAAAGGATGAATTATTAAACAAATAGAAAAGAAAACTAAAAATAAGAAAAAATAAAAATAAAATGACCAATCAAAGAGAGACAAATCCGTTATTAATAATCTAACCTATTTGTTGAATCATCTATAAGAAAATATTTCTTATGACCCAACTAACACCACAACAAGCACTTACTTTCTTACTTGATGGTAATAACCGATTTGTTGAAGGGAAAACAATAACATATAATTTTGAAGAAAGAAGAAAGGAATTAGTTAATAAACAAGAACCAATTGCTACAATTATTTGTTGTTCTGATTCAAGAGCACCTCCAGAATATTTATTTAATGTTAATTTTGGAGATATTTTTGTTGTTCGATCTGCTGGTGGTGTTATTGGACAAACAGAATTAGGGTCAGTAGAATATGGTGTAACTCACTTAAAAACTCCTCTTATTGTAGTTTTAAGTCATACCTCTTGTGGTGCTTGTACTGCTGCTTGTCAACGTGCACATTCAGAGAATGCACTTTCTGCTATTCTTTCAGACCTTATTCCAATTGCTGAAAAATGTAATAATGACATTCATTCTACTTGTATTCAAAGTGCAGTACAACATGCTGAATTTCTTCGTTCAAACCCATTATTACAACCTTTGATAAAACAGGGTCAATGTAACATTGTTTCAATGATATATAATATAGAAACTGGTAAATGTGAAGTTGTTCAATAACAATCTAATAATGGAATATATAACATAATTTTATTTTTTTAAAGAAATTGTTATTTTTGTTACAAAACAAATAAAAATTATATTTTTAGATTATCTTTTTAAAATTATAACTAACAGATGAAATAATTATCAAGATTCCTGCAAATCCTATAATAACTACACACTTTTTCAATACATTAAGTTAGTTCAATAATGAAATTAGAAGTCGAAACAATTTGTTGGTTTTGTTAAGTCACTAGTTCTTTGACAAGAAGAATAAAAAAGAAGCAATGAAAAGAAATTTGAAGTTAATAAAGTCGTTTTAAGTAATTATATAAAGATGAGGAAATAGTACTTTTTCATTCTAACTTAAAGAACAATGCCACCTAAACCATCACATACAGTCACCGGACATGACCATAACCATAGTATTCAATTTGATTGGTCTAAATGCATGGGTTGTGGAATGTGTGCTACTAAATGTACTTTTGGGGTGTTAGTAAAACAACCACCAAAAATTCCACCATTTGTTCAGCCTAATAGAGAAAAACTCTCTCAAGAAAATACCGACAAGACAAGAGTACTTATTGATGAGTCTGAATGTACTGGGTGTGGTCAATGTTCTTTGGTTTGTAACTTTGGTTCTATTACACCAATAGACCATCTTGTTGATACTTTTAAAGCTAAAGAAGCTGGAAAGAAGCTTGTTGCTATGATTGCACCTTCAACTCGTTTAGGTGTTGCTGAGGCTATGGGAATGCCTATTGGAAGTACAGCTATGGCTCAGTTAGTTCATTGTTTAAGACTTATTGGATTTGATTATGTATTTGATGTTGATGCTGGAGCTGATAAGACAACAATGGATGATTATGCCGAAGTTATTGAAATGAAAAAAGAAGGAAAAGGACCTGCTATTACTTCCTGTTGTCCTGCTTGGATTGAACTTGTTGAAAAAGAATATCCTGACTTAATTCCAAACGTCTCTACTGCCCGTTCACCAATTGGATGTTTAGCTGGTTGTATTAAAAGAGGATGGGCAAAGGATGTAGGAATTGCAGTAGAAGATCTTTACACTGTTGGAATAATGCCTTGTATTGCTAAAAAAACAGAGTCTCAAAGACAACAAATTCATCAAGACTATGATGCTTCATGTACTTCAAATGAAATTGCTGCTTATTTCAAAAAACATCTTCCACCTGAAGAATGTAAATTTACACAAGAAAGAGAAGAAGCACTTGCTAAAACTGAAGATGGTCAATGTGATTTACCATTTAGACGTATTTCTGGTGGTTCTAATATTTTTGGAAAGACTGGAGGAGTTTGTGAAACTGTATTGAGAGTAATTGCACGTAATGCAGGAGTTGATTGGAACAGTTGTACTGTTAACAAGGAAGAAACTTTTAAACATGCTGCAAGTGGATCAACAATGACAAATCTTTCTGTTGATATTGGTGGAACTATTATCACAGGTGCTGTTTGTCATGGTGGTTATGCTATTAGACATGCTTGTGAACTTATTAGAAAAGGAGAGTTAAAAGTTGATGTTGTTGAAATGATGGCATGTGTTGGAGGTTGTCTTGGAGGAGCAGGTCAACCAAAAATTCCACCAGCAAAGAAACTTGAGATGGATAAGAGAAGAGTAATGTTAGATATTTTAGATCAACAAACTGATATTAGAGCTGCTAATGAAAATACTGATGTTCTTGGATGGATTGATAAACATTTTGATCATCAAGGTGCACATCAGCATCTTCACACATATTTTACTCCCAGATATCAAAACTAAATGAACAGTTCTTTATTATCCTTTCATATTTTGTTATTTATAGTCTCGATGTATTTTTTATCATTTGTATCATTCATATCTTGAAATTTAAATTTCTAATTTCATGCCTCCTAAAAAGAAACATGTTGTTAAAGTACAAGTCACCAAACCTCAATTGACAGAAAATGACGTTTCAATAAAAAAAGATGAACAAGTTCATCACACATATAATACAAGAACAAATAGAAAACACACAAAAAAACTTCATGTTGTTATGGATAAAAACGATGAGCTAATAGCATATGACGAAGATAGTTTTCAAGAGGATATTACTAATCAAAAAGAAAGTCATTACCAAATAAAGAAAAATCTTCATGACATTAGTTCTTCACATCAAATAGTAAAAAAATTTGATGAAGGTGAAATAAAAAGAAAACATATTCCAGTTGATACATCTGTTGAACAACAACCAATTAAAGGAATTATGATTTGTTGTTATGGAACAACAATTGATATTCCAAAAGAAATAGAAAATAAAGAATTTAATTCATTAACATCATATGTTGTTTATTCATCGGGTAAAATTAATAAAGATGTTGTTGAAAAATGTGGAATAAACAATATTCCAATTGTGTCTGAACAATGGCTTATTGATACAATTAAATCAACAACAATAAAAGATCCATACGCATATCTTGTTCCAATAGATAAATTAGATATTGATGAAGAAATAAAAAGAGTTGAAATATCAAATAAGGATAGTCGAAAAAAGAGAATAATTGATTTACTTCACTAAAATTAATTATATTTTTTTATAGTTTTTAGGAATTAATTTATTAAAACTTTTAGACAAAAAGAACTTTTAAAGTTACATGTCGTTTTGTTATAAATACAAGTTATATTTTGATAGTATTATTATTTCATTAAAACGAATAGACAAAGCTGCTCCATTGTATTTTTCGTATTTTACTAATGCAGTAGTTCTTAGTTTTGTTTCATTTATTAGTTTTATTATATTTTATAGTTTGTCATTCTTCTTTTATTACCTTTCAATAACATAATATAACACTTTCAGCTGACTCTAATAAAGTAAATTCTTTCAATAAAGATGAAACTTCTGAAGTAAATGATGTACATTTAAATTATTCGAGAATAACTTTCTTTTGTATTGTGTTGACAGTCCTTCCATTAATACTATCAATAATGGTTTATAAATCTCTTGTTAATATTCATTATTTATCAACTCAATTTTCTATTATTATTTCTTCTATTATTTGTTTTATAACTCTCTGTGCAGTTCATTATCATTTCATTTTTGTCATTCACTTCTTTATCTCAATCGGACTAATCATTTTTGTGATTGGAATATCTCTCTTCTTAAAGCAACTTTGTAGTCTTACAGTCCCTAGTTATTCATATGATATTCAGTTATGTGAAATAACAATGTTGTCTACACTATGTACTTGTATTGCCATTCAACCAAAATGGTATATTATAGGTTTACTTTCTCCACTATTCTTTTCATTACCTCATCCTAAGAAATTAGATGAATGGATTCGAACGTTTAACCAAAAGCATTTCACTCTATCACTCTATTTCTTATGTGCAACAACTACTAATATTGTTGCATTGTTATTATTATATGCCAGAATCAGTCAAGGGGGTTTCTATAATTATGTTATTGCTATTGTTTTATTTGCTTTGATCATTAATTCTGAGATAGTTGCATATATCCACCAAAAAAAAGGGAATCACTTGTATAGTGAAGAGGTAACACAACCATTAGCAGATGATGAAGGTAATGTCCAACCATAAAATTTTCGCTTAACTTTTTTATTATTTTCTTTTTGTTCTTAATAATTTAAAAAAATAATAAAAATTAACTATTGAATAGATAAAAGCAACAAAAGAAAAATACATTCCTCCAAAATCGCATTAAAATATTAAATTTGTTCAAAAATAACATAAAAAATACTTCATAAGAAAAGAGTAATTTTTTATTTTCATCTTAAAATAATTTAGTTGTTTATCTTATGAGAAGAAACATTAACGAAGATATTGACTTATCATTTCTTACTACACAAAAAGAAAAGAATAAATTTCAAAAATTTAATGACGAGGCTGAGAAGATACTTAACCAAATAGAAAAATGTAAGGTTTGGACTGATATTCTTCAAGTTATGCAAACCTTTACTAAATTTATTAAAAACAATAAAAACTTCCCTGTTGTTCCGGCTAAACAAACATTTATGAGAAGAATGGCACAGGCATTAGATCCACAAATTCCATCTGGAGTTCATATGCAAGTATTAGAATTATTTGTTATGTTATTTGAAAGAATAGGAGAAGATAGATTAGTAGAAGATTTATGGTGTTTTACACCAGGGCTATTTCCATTAATACGAAGTGGAGCAACAGATATTAGAACAAAGATATTAGATATTATAAAGAAATATTTATTAAAAGTTATAATGAAAATGAAAGATATTCAAAAAGCATTTATTATTTCTGTTGTAGTTGGTATGGAAGAAAATTCTAGTGGAATTAAAGATAAAACAATTGAACTTATTGATGAAGTTAAAAAGAATAATGAGAAATATTTCTGGGAATTATGTTGGGATATATTACGTTCAAATAGCATTAGTAGAAAACCATTATTAACGTATATGTTACTTAAACTTGATTGTCCAATAAAAGAAGAACAATTAGCAAATAGAGAATTAATGTTATATAGTATTTTAAATACATTTACTGATGAAAAATCATTAGTATTAAGAGACATGTTAGATATTTTATGTACAAGAATAAAATTAAATAGTGGAATATTTAATGAAGAACAATTTACAAGTATTGTTGAACGAATGTTAATATTATTAAAAAAGAAAGATAGTGGATTAACAAGAAGAGTTCATTTTTATCTTTTAGGATTAAATGCTAAAGACCAAGATATTGAGAAAGAACAAATAATATCATTTTTTAATAATTATTCATATAAAATTATAGAAAAATCATTAAATGAATTATATAATTACGCATCAAAAGAAGGAATTGAAAACATAATTTCTATATATGAAGAATTATTAGGTAAACAAATTATTGCAGAACAAGTTTTTAAAAATGTAATTTGTTCAGTTCTTTCATTATTACAAAAAGCATTGGAAATAAATAAAAGAAATGACATTGATATAATTACTGAATTTTTAAAAAATGTTGATATTGATGTATTATTTGAATATATAATTTCTTTAATGAATAATGAAACAAAAGACTATGCAATTAAAAGAACATTAGCATTTCTTACAACGTATCAAGGAAATGAAGAACAAATGAAAAAAATGGATACATTTGGAATTAATATTTTACTTCTTTGTTGGAAAAAAATGATAAGATTAATAGAGTCTGAAGTACAAATAAATCAACTAACAGAATGTTTTGAATTAATAGAATATTGTTTAAAAGATGAATTTGAAGAGAATGAAGAAAAAGATATTCAATTAATAAAAATAACAATTGAAGCAGATAAAGTATTTGAAATATTTATGAAAAAATATATTGAAGTAGATACTACAATGCCAGAAAAAAAACTTAATATGTTTATTAAATTTTGTGATATAATTAAAACATTACATACTAAATTAACACCATTTAAAAGATATCAAATACAAAATATTAATGAAGAATATAATGAAGAAATTGAAAAAGAAGAAGAAGAAATTGGAATTGAAGGAATTCAAATATTATTAAAAAAAGAATTAAATAATAATGGATGGATAGATGAATTAAAAAAAATTATTGCAGAACATCCACATCCTATTTTAAGAATTAAAGCAGCAAAATGTTATTATGATATTTGGAAAAAAGAAGAAAAAGATGTACTTCAACTTGATGATGAAACATTTATTTATGAATTATATCAAGTATTATGGAAAACATTAGATGAAGATAATTATTCAATATTAACTGATGTTGTATTATTTTTCCATACATTTGGTACTTCACATGAACAATTAACATATAACTTTATTACAGAAAAATTAAAAGATGGAAATGAAGATGACTTATTAAAATATATGTTATTTTGGAAAAATTCAAGTTTGTTAATTTATGATATTGAGACTTCAGTTTTTAATAAAGGATTAATATTATTCTTACAATATTATATTCACCAACATCATGACCCATTCTTTTTGGACTTTCTTCAAGTATCAATGAATGTACAAAGACTTGATCGTATTCTTCCTCCAATTATTTCAATTTTATTAACACAACAAGATGAAAGAAATAAACAATTATATGGATTTGAAATTAATGATACATTATTAATTTCATTATTAAACATTATTGATACAATGTTTGCTTCTTCTAATCCTAAATTTATTGAAACATTAAAATTACTTCAAATACCAATGTTTCTTAATGAAAAATATAAAAAAATTGAATATTCATTTGATAAAATGTCAGAACCATCAAATATTCTTGAATTAATATTTTGTGTTATTATGTTATATATGAAAGGAAATAAAAAATTAATTAACACTTCTGATAAAACACAACTATTTCATTATCAGTCTCTTGCAACAGATATTTTAATTAATATTTTTACTTCTTATCAAGAAAATGAAATAATAAAAGATATTAGTATTTCTACTCAATATACTATATTACTTTCATTTGCTGAATCAATTACTCATGCTCCTAAATTACAATTACATTTACTTTCTTTAGTAAAATTATTAGTTAGACTTTCTGATATAACTCAACCTGAACAAAGTATTACTAGATTTTCTTTATTCCTTCAAACAATTATTAGTGGAATTTGTCAAGAAAAACATATGTATCGTTCTCATTTTCTTAGAATGATTGAAGAAAGTATTGATTTTATTCCATCAACAGAATATAAGACTTCTGTAGTATTACTTATACAAGCTATTTCTAATGTAATTTCACAAAATACATTACCAAGGTCTATTTGTTTAAATACTTTATCAGAAGAAATTAATCCAGTACTTGACATTTTAAAAAAATTATATGAACATTCATTAAAACTCTTTCCTTATAAATCTCAATTTGAAGATACTTCAAACCAACAAACACAACAAGTAAGTGCTGGACAACAAATTGGAAATGCTGTATTATTTATTCCAATGCTTGTTGTATCTGTTTTTTCTGATGTAAAAGGTAATAAAGAAAAAAGAAATAATGAACCACATTTTCTCACTTCAACATTAAGAAGAACTATTCAATCAATATTTGAATTAGTCAGTGTAACTGAAGGTCCTAATAACTCATTTGTCTTACAAAGTAATTGTGTTTCAGTATTGGAAATGTTATTTATTTCATTCCCACTTGATTTTATTGGAGAATATTTATTAATGTTTAATTCATTCCCTGATAAACATTCATTTATATTCAGATCATTTAAACAAGAATTTATAGTTAAAATGTTATGGTCATTATTAGTTATTAGTGAAGCTGGATTATATGAAGATGTAGCTCCACAAAAAATATTTGACTTTGTTCAATTTATTATAACAAAAGTTATAACTCCAACTGAATTATATAGAACACAAATGTATATTCAATCATTAATTAATCATCATATGGTAAATGATGAAATGGTCTTTGTTATTATACATACTATTAAATTATTCCTTGATGTTATTAATCAACTTGATATTAAAAACCAAGGTAAATTAGGAAATGGATGGGAAGAAATTATTAATTCAATATTAAATAAATATATGGCAATTGTTCAACGTTGGAAAGAAGGAGGTCAACCTATTAAATTAAGAAATA